GCTGTTATTTGTTTTTAATTAGTTATTGTATTTCTTCTTGTTGAGCCTGTGGGCCACACTGTAAAAATGTCCAGGTAATTTTATTGTCGTTCAATAAAATGTAAATCTCTACATTTAAATCTGTCTTGGAAGCTTCTTTCTGAGTAATGAACCCAGTCACTGGTTCTGATTCATAAACCAACACATCTGGCCAACAGAACAACTGACTACGTGTTTTCCTTTTGTCCCTTTCAGCCGGTGTGTGTGAGTGTGTGTCTGCGTGTGTGAGGGGTCCACTGTGTGTGTGTGTGTGTGTGTGTGTGTGTGTGTGTGTGTGTGAATCCCAAAGCTAACATCCGTAGCTGGTAGATCCCAGCTGATAGGGCACTGATGGCATCATAATCCAGAGACGGGAAGTAGCTGGATCAGTGTGCTAACACACAGACACACACACAGCTGACACCCACCAGGGGCCCGCTGAAGCTCAGAACGGGTCGATCCAACTATGACCTGTGAATACTTCCAAGTTACACTGTGTGGAGATAGTGAAGTTATGCTGACCACACCCTAACGGAACTCAGCTTCCACTTAAACCTCGGCGTTGGCCGGAGAAGATAAGTGACGCAGAGAAGCATCGGGGGGAAAGTCTGCGGATCAGTTTACTGACATATCAGACCTGTTCCACAGTTACTTTGTATTTTATCTCGTCTGTTTATTCATTGGATCCAGTAAGTACGTCAGGGGAGGCAAAAGGACGCTCCCAGGGTGTGGGAAGCACTCCCCCCCAAAAAAATCAAGCCAATGTTGTGTATTTCAGCATCATAAGTCATGATTGTGTACTTCATTTTCAACAGAATGGCCGATGTGTGTCTGGGAATCAATAAGAAGGATCAGAATGAGACTTTAGTCCAGGTTTACCACGTTGCAATAGTACGATACTGTTGGAAGACAGAGACAAACATGTTGTGCAGCCGTGTCCTTGGCAGTGGCTGCAGCGTACCGGCCGGGGATCACTGTCTTTGAGACGGTGAACTTCACCATCGGCTGAGCCTTCGTGGTGACGTAGCTGATGGAAGTTAAATCCGCACAGGTCGCCAGATGCTCAACATCCCACTTTTAGGAGGACGCATGCCCACACCAGATACGAGTCCCGGGGGGAGGGGGGGGGCTGTTGGCTCTGTAGCTGAACTGCAGGGGGTCATGGGGAGCGTTGGTCAGGGTTTTGATGTGGGACAACGTGCTAAAGCAACTTCATAACCACAGAGATCAGGGTGACGGGCCTGGAGTCATTGGGTTTTTTGGGAGGTGGGGAGGATGGCCGAGGCCTTGTGAAGCGTGACGTGAAGCGTGACGTGAAGCGTGACGTGAAGCGTGGTGAGCCTGGAACCGGAAGGAGTCACACTTTAAACCCGCCTGTTACAAGCCTTCACGTGTTTTGCTTCCATCGAGGAGTCGGAACCCGGCTGACAGAAACGTTTTTTTTTTTTTTTTAACTCTTCAGTTCACACTGACACACGACTGACATTAACACACGAAACACACACACAGACACACACGCACACAAACCTGAGTCGGTCTGTCTTCTTTTTTCAAACTATACTTGTGAGGTCCAGGTTTGTCAATGTCAGGGGATCATTTCTGGTTTCTGATAATGTTGAGCAACGGCTCCAGTCAAATGTGAGTGTGTGTGTGTGTGTGTGTTGGATTAAAAGCGAGGCTTCTGTCATGATGGTCTGTTCCCAGTTATGATGCTGTACAGTTGTGTAATGACCACCCAAACAAACGATAAATCAAAAGATGGATCAGCGAGCTCTGGGCTGGAAACACTAAAGTCAGAACCTCCATCCTCATTTCTTTCATCATAAAGAAACTGTCTTTTTATATCAGATGTTTAACTTCATGTATCACGTCAGCTTAGCATAACTGTGAAAAAAGCCAACCGGACTCTCCCCCCTGAAGTGACCTCCCTCCACCGAGGCCCAGTGGGGGAACGAGGTCCGCCGGGAGCACCTGCCCATCGTCCTGGTCGCCTGGCAGGTAACGGGGTGGGCGGGGCTTAAACGTCTATGTATGAGCTTCCTCAGCGACGGTTGTAAAACTTTAGGAATTTCCTCTTGGAACTGGAGCCGACCTCCTTAAGCCTCAGCTTCAAGTCTTCACTTGGACCATAAGCCAAAGTCTAAATCTAGCTCCCTCTAAATAAACCTCAGGCCTAAATGTCAAATTAAATCTTAACTCTAACTCTATAGAACAAAGAGATTTACAACCTCAAACCCAAACTAAAGACATGAAATCCCCCCGAAACCCACAAACCCTCAAACCCTCCACTCCAACGTCCAGAAAATAGACCCTTAAAACCGGCCACACCCGACTGACAGAAACGCTTCTCATACATTTGTCTTCTTTATGCTTCCCTTGTGTTCTCCTGTGCCCCCCCCCCCCCCCAAATACTCCACAGCTTCACATCTTTGAGATTAAAATAGAATTATCCTTCAGGTTCCTCACCTTTCCAGACGAATGTGTGAGGAAATGACTCGACTTTTCTAAAGGAAACTACTCTAATGTGGAGTTTGGTAGAACCGACGAAGAGCCTTAGGAAGAACCGCGTAGAAACAGACCATCTCCTCTCTCTGAGGGCCTCGTTTACTGATGGAGGTCCTTTAGAGGCCTCTAAAAGGCCAGTAAGGACCTGGAGGAGGTCTTCATGTGATGGATTTAATGAGATACACAGACCAGATCCCTTCCAGTATCAAACACACACACATGGGAAGTTACTCAGCCAGAGTAATTCTATGCAGATGTTCTGTGCCTGGTTGTGTCTGTGTGGGGACCTTCATTTAAACAGTGAGAACTATGAAGAACATGCTCGCCCCCCTGTGGCCAACAGCTGTAACGCAACAAATCAAAGTTAGGGAAGAAGGTGTTTTGTTTGGAGACTCATTTCAGCAGGAAAAAAGATGGGATATAAAATAATTGCTGTATATTACCTAAATATTCTGCTTTGTAGTATTTTATGCCCCCGTGCATGTGCACAGTTTCTTTATTTGTATAATAATTCAAGCTTATTTGCAGGAAACAAACAAGAATAAAACAAAACTGCTGCATTCATAACGCTCACGATACGTTCTACCGCCAGATAATAAAGCCAAGACGAGACGGACGGGTGAAGCTGGTGTATTCAGCATTTATTGTCTGTCATTTTAAAAACGGCTTGAGGACAATCAAAATATAAATACATTTGCCCAGACACACACGCAGACACACGCAGACACACAATTGGAACTCATTAACAACTTTCATCCACACGTTAATACCCAGAGAGCTTGATTTGACCTCCAGGGGTCAGGAGGGACCCTCAGTGGGTCGGCGCTCCCTTCAGTCCACCAGTGAGCAGAGACGAGCCTCGTGTCGACATTTTGGTTTAAATCTTAAAATTTCTCTTTTTAAAGTTCCTAAACTGTCAGTGAATAATCTGTTGGTGAGTTCGTAGTTAGGACGTCTGCTCCGTCTCCTGGGTGAAAGTCGTGCGTTTGTTGCTTCCTTATTTCCCGTTAAGTAGCTCAGCGTAACAAACGTCTTCTTCCAGCTCGGTCAGAAAAAACCCAACTGAAATCCTCCTCGAACGCACCAATACTTCCAGGGCTGTAAGGAAAGAGCGTTTGAAGTAGTTTCCGTCTGTAAATCACCTTTTTGTGGACAGATTTAAAATAAAAACATTCTGCTCTGTAGTTACGAACCTTCCAAGCAAAAGAAAAAAAAAAACCACAACCTTTTAACCAACAACACCCGCAGGGAATAAAGAACAGACCGACATCTGGCTCTCACGCGCCGAGTCGGGAATCAAACCGACGTCTTCTTGTGGTCGGGAGCTTCCTGCCCCGCCCCTCACACGCGCAAATGGTCACGCTAGATGGTCGTGCAACCCGTGGAATGAAGCACGTGGAAGAATACAAGTCCCCCCCCCCATAACCTTCGTATTATTAACCCGGGGAAAGGGGGCGGGTCTGTCGGGGAGCTTCCCTAAAGCCGGGTTCTTTTTCCGGAGCCCATTACAGGACCGGACGCCGCGGCCCGGGACTCGTCCTCGTGGTGAAACGCCGCAGAGCTCCACAAATAGAAGACGGAGACACGTCGTCGCCGCCGCCGATTAACGTCAGTTTGTCCCCATTCACGCGCTAACGGGGCAGAACCCGCCGATTAAAGACGCTACGACGCGCAAACACGGCAGCCAATCAGAGCTCAGAGGGTCGCCATGCAGGAAGTGGGCGACGTCTTGGCACAATAACATATGTATATATATAAGAAACGTCTAACTTTAAATGAAGGAATCTGTCGCGTGGACGTCTCGGCCGACTGAAGGAACTTTTTACGAGGGGACTGAAATCTGTAAGTGGCGCTAATTCGGCGGTTTCTTTTCGGTCATTTTGAGACGTCTTTAAATAAAGGAACAGGTCATCCAGGAATCATTCTTTTCTCCCGTGCAGAGAAGAAAACCGCACAGGAGAACGCGAGTCTCTGTCGGGTCGAATATCAGCTTCAGGTTACTGGATTTAAAAGGTTAAAAACGATCCGTCTCTCTCGCCTCAAATCAGCGGAGAGCAAAGAAAAGAAGAAGAAAAACGCCCGCAGGTTTTCCTCTCCAGTGGTTTTTATCCACAACCACAAAAAAAAAAAGGAATTAAAAAAATGTCTGCTTTGAATCGGCTCTCTGTACGTCTGTCACTCGTCGTCAGAAGGACAAACCCGGCCTCTTCTTTCGGGGGGGGGGGGGGGGGGGGGGGCCCCCTTTAAAAAACCTTGCCCCCCTTTTTTTTTTTTTGGAATGCCCCAGCCCAGGGTTTAAATAGGAAGTCATATACACCGGCCCCTCCAGGGGGAAAAAAAAAAAAAAAAAAAAGTCCCCTTTCCTCCCCTTTCTTTGGGTGTGAGTTCATCGCGCGCGCCTCTTTCAAACCGGGAAAACCCGCCCCAAAACTATACATAGACCCCCTTATAAACGTGTGCAACTGCCTCACAGAGGCAAAGAGAGACAGCATCATGTTAGTGATCGCTTCTAAGGAGTTCTGTTTCTATTATAACTCGACTTCAATGTTTAAGGAAACCGGCCACTCGGGAACCAATCTGGACTCTACTGGTTTGCTCTGCGGGATCCTACCGGTGTTTCTCGGTGAATTTAACCATCATGGGCGACAGCTCGTACAGAACAAACACGCCCGGCAGGCCCTGGTCTCCGATCAGCCCGTTGGCCACTTTCTCGTGTCTGGTGACGGAGAACTGGTTTGTTTTTACCACCTGCGGAATAAAAGAGACGCAAAAGGGCAGTTAGGAGATAAAAGAGAAGGACGGCAGGTTCAATTAGGGTGAAGAACTAGAAGGCGAAACAGACGGGTTGAGACCCACTAAACTGGACCTCAGTGTTTACAAACCAACTACAGATGAGGTTATGAGAACTATGAAAAGGCAACACAAGCTTGTATGTTAACATTTCTCAGTTCAAAACACATTTAATGAGGTTTGACGTGGAAGAGGAAACAAAGACAAACTCACCTCTCCGTCAGTCTTCACGTAGATGGTGGGAACAATTTTCACAAAGTACTGGTACATCATGGATGCTGTGGGGAGAGAAACGAAGCCGGGGTTCAAACCCAAATACATGTTGTTGTTGTCGTCGGTCTAAATATTTATTTGTGTGTTGTCATGGAGGATTGTTCTTGTTTTTGAATATGTCGTCCTTGAGATTTGATTCCCTCCCAGTCATCCTTCGTCCTCCAGAGAAACAAATGTAAATTTGTGTAAATGAACCGATCCGCTGGGTGGCGCTGTTCCTTTTCTCTTCTTCTTCTTCTTCTTCTTCTCTTCCTCCATCCGGTTATGAAGGTTTGATAGAAAAGGCATTTAAACGCAGCTGCGCTCAAAACGAGACACACGAACCTTTAAACGCACGCGTGAAGGTAAAACTCTTTACAGATCGCGTTATTTATCGGAGGAAACGGGATTGTGTGTCAAGGCCACACGTTAACGTTACGTAGCGTTAGCTTGTCAGCTAGCATGCTTGTCAGCTAGCATGCTTGTAGCATGCTGCTAGCACCTTAACACAGCACAACAAACCCACCCGGTCGCATTACGGGTGGATTTTACAGGTTGAGATTAATCATGGTGTGTTGTTGTACAGAAGCGAACAGGCGGGTATTATTTTTTCTTGCCCGACTGTGTCTGGCTAACGTTAGCTAACGTTAGCCTAGCTCGCTAGCTAGTCTCACACGGTGGAATCATTGACGAGCAGCTTAACTACCACACGTTTCAGCGGTTAGTGGCTGGTTTGGATCGCCAGCTCACCAACCAGTAAGTGAGATGGCCGATGTGGACTAGATCGCGTAAGAAATGACTAACTCAGTCACGTTAGTTAGTTAGTTTGCTAGATCCAAAGGTCAAACGTCCGACTGTTTGTCCGTCTCCTGCTTCCGTAGCTGTGATTTTCTCCCGATGAAGCGGCACCAACTACGGTACTTTGTACAAAGTACCGAGACAGGAAGCAGCCTTGAGAAATGTCCAGTATTCGGCCCCTGATTCAGATCAGGACCGCAGGTCACTTCATCGGTTGTCTTCTCGTGTCTAACCCGGTCCCGTCCGTCCCAGATGCCCGTGGCCGTAGGTCCGTACGGGCAGACCCAGCCCAGCTGTTTTGACCGGGTCAAGATGGGCTTCATGATGGGGTTTGCGGTGGGGATGGCTGCAGGCGCCATGTTCGGCACCTTCTCCTGTCTCAGGTAGGTCTCAATCGCACATTCACCAAGTTGGGCTTGTTTCTGTAGAGGACCAGTGTTTTTTCCCCTGGTTTTAACAAGCCAATCAAAGCGTTGCAGAGGAACAGAAATCCAGACGAAAAGACGTGAAACGTCTCTTTGGATGCTGAATTTAAAAAAATCTCTGTCTCTTCTGCCTGAAGGATCGGCATGCGTGGCAGGGAGCTGATGGGAGGAGTGGGGAAGACCATGATGCAGAGCGGGGGGACGTTTGGCACCTTCATGTCCATCGGTATGGGAATCCGCTGCTGAGGAAGAGGAGCAGCAACCTCCTCCGTTACACTGCTATGGGACTCTTCCAACAACTACAGCTCTGTCACGCTCTCAACCCGCCGGCTAGTTTTGTCAATAAATGTTCAGATCCGTCAGATGGTTTTCAGAGTGGATGTGTTCCTTTTGTGTAACTCTCGGATTGTTTGAATTTCTGTAGAAAATCGCTCATGACAAGTATGGAAAACTGGTAGAGGCAAATCTCGTTCTGTTTGGACCGTAGAAAAGTCCTTCCTTGATCTTCGGATGTGCAAACAGACATCATGGCGTGCATGAACCACGAACACTGTCAGTGCAAAGTGACTCCTTATTCAAGACGACATTAAGCTTGAACTCTAAACTTTGCTGCACTTCAGCTTTTTGGGATACTGTCAGCGTTGCCATGGAAACTGAGCAAAGCAGGACCGACCTTGTGGCGCAGTGACGTCCGTCTCGTCCAGAGGGTTAATGATGCCGGGGTAATCTTTCCCAAAGGACAGGTGCTTTATCAGATGCGTCATGTTTATCTGCAGGACAGAGAGATAAATATGTTCATATGACAAGTGAGCTGCTCATACATCACCACAGTGAGCTCACAGGTGACTTATATAAACATGAAATGTGCTTAAATGGGGAAAATAACACGTGACAATTGTTGCAGAAACTTAAACAAGCAAAGCTGAAAACATCCGTTGAACTACTTACGTTGTCTAAACCGAAACTCTGCAGGTCGTGAACTGCAAACACAAAAACATTTAACGTCACATCACTGGATCCCAGAAGCTTGGAACACACACGGCAGAAAAGGATAAAGGAAATAAAAGAGTGAGCGAGTAGCTGAAGTGACGCATCTGTCAGAAATGTGAGTTTGTGATGATTTCTGCTCGTTCCATTCAGCCGTTTGCGTGTTGGGGAAAAGTTCAAGAAAAGTCTCACATGACGAGTTCACGCTCTTCCTCTGGTGTCAGACTGATGCAGCCTGTGGGTTAATGTGCCCATCCACACGCCTGCTAAGGACTGATGCAGCCTGTGGGTTAATGTGCCCATCCACACGCCTGCTAAGGACTGATGCAGCCTGCTACGGACTGATGCAGCCTGTGGGTTAATGTGCCCATCCACACGCCTGCTAAGGTGGTAACAGCTCAGCACAACAGCAACAAACACATAACAAAAGGTTGCTAAGTTCATTTTCAGTGTCATCAGGATAAAACTTCAATATTCAAAGAGCCTCACAGATTAGACACTGGATTTGCTCCCTAAAAACAACTCATCACTTCGGCCCAATCCCCATATTTTCACCATAGTGATATTTTGGTACATCAGCGGGTTTAATGAGTAGTTTATATTTAGTCACATGTGGGGAAACAAATATTCTGTCGGTCTTTGTAGAAGTCGTCACTCAGTTATTACTACAATAATAAAGACTTTCCATGTTTGATAAACAGGAATGAGGCGCTTCCTCTGTCACGTTTCTACGCCTTTATGACCGGATAGTTAAGAAAGATGGACTTACTTTCCACAGCGTGCACTGCAGAAAGAAGAGAGAAGAGTCACTATAATGAGTCAGGTAGACAACACACCACGTGATCGCACTGTGGACCTCACAAAATGTTCAAAATATTAAGACGAGCTCTTTAGCTTCAAAAAGTATTACAAGCTCAAGTCCGACATACAAATGGATTTGAGAGCCACAAGGCGAGATACTGTCGGGTTAGAAGACAGTTGGTTCCTTCAGTCCACACGCAACCCTGTGGAGGCCACAGACAGCTTTTTATCTATTTATAATTATAGAGCAAGGGATAGGAGACCAAATGAACTATATGTAATATCTATACAAATTCATATAAAGGGCGGCGGACGCGTTCAGGGAAGAAAGCTCACTTTCTAGTGCAGCTCAGACTATCGGATTTTTACCAGATTAAAGTTACTTTAAAAGTTAGAAGCCAATTCCTCCTTATTAGTATTCAGCTACAGTCGTACTCAAATTAGTAGTTAAATTGGTGCTGGAGAAGATTCCTTTAAGAAGCTGTTTTCTTGCTCTTAATGTGCAGACGGTGCAGTCAAAATAAGAATAATAAGAAAACTGACACACACTGACAGCAGGGAAGCAACAGCCGCTAAAGCAAAGAAAAAGGAGACAGAGAGACAAATGAAAAATGTGCATCTTCGAGTTGGTCTGATAACATTCTTTGCATTAACAAAATAAAATAGTGCCGGATTTGTTAGAGAGTGTCATGAGTTTAGTTTTGATCCTCGATGAGGCTTTTTCACTCAAACAAAAAAAGAAAACACAGAATCCTGGTTACAACTGATGGGATTATATTATTCTTTCATCTGATGTGAGACGTCTGAAGGCTTTTAGGCTGAACTTCAGCGAAGATTCTTGGATCAAAATTCAAAAAGAACTATTTGTTAGAGACGCGAACAATTGAGACTCAAGAGTCTCGACTGTAGTTGATTAAGACTTAAGATTAAAAGATGAAACACCTTCACATTTGTTTTAAGGTGAACCGGATCAGCTCTGATGAAGGAGTGATGAGTGAATGAACGTGTAACCGGGGACGACGAGTGAACAGACTGAAAGTAAAGGCAGCCGCAGAACACCGTCGTGTATATTTGAGTGCTGGAAAGGTCTTTGCACAATAAGCACTCATGATACTTTAAAGAAATGCATGAATAAATAATGCTATAAAAAGTGGATCAAATAGATTTTGTAATCGGGGCCCGGCCGCCCGCACCAGCGAAGAGCTTCTTCAAACGGGTGTTTTAAAAACCAGGCGAACTCATCAGTGGACAAATCCCATCTCATCCCAAGGAAGGCGCTCCTGTGCACGCCGCGTCTTACCGTGCACGTGAGACTGCTGGAAGCTTTTTCCTGGAGCGAAGTGGAAATTTCCTGCCACCTGAGACACAAAGAGGAGGAGAGGAAGCATAAAAAGAGTCAATGTGGTGTAGAAAAAGGCACAGATGTTTGACTGTCACAGTAAAACGGTTGCAGGCGGAGGAGGTCCGACTGGTTTTTCCTGACGTTCTGCTTTGCCTTTTGAACTAGTCGACTCATCCAAAGCAGAACGTTACTGATAAACGATCAGTGAACTAAAACCGTTTCATTTTGCAGCCCAAAGTATTAACATTCTTCCTTTTCATGCATCACTATGTTGGACGTCCTCCAGAGGTCACAGAGGTCATCCCATTAGGGACCGAAGGACACACACACACATAACGATGGGAGCACCTTGTTGACCTCCAGGAAGCCGTAGACCTGGCAGCCCTCGTTCTTCTGCTCCTGCATCTTCTGCGAGAAGCCCTCCCTCTTGCACTGCGCGATGGTGTCCGCGTTCTTGAAGGCCCAGCCGCGCCGCCGGTACGCCTCACGCACGTCATCACAGGTGTTACAGCATCTAAAAAGACACAACAGAAGTGAAGTAAACAAATAACGAGGTTCTCAGAAAAGGCGCCTTACTGCGGTGTCTTACTTGAGGTCTTCGGTCTCGGCTCCGTAGCAGCTCTCACATCGGTTCGGGTCCAGTGAACTGGGGTCAAACACTTCTCCGTCGTCGGCCATGCCGAGGTCTACACACAGAGACCAGAAACTCTTTAAACCCTTACGACCACCGTCCTACACACGCACAAAACTCTTAAAACATCGGAATGAGGGACGATTCTTGCACATTTTCCCCTGGATGTTTTTTTCTAAAATGAGGTTGTTCATTAATTGTTGATTGTAATTGTTAATTAACTGCAGCATAAAGTACACATCATAAACAGCCATATTTGGACTTAAAAAAGGCAGTTGCTAAGAAGTGGCATTGTGGGTAGTGACCGACCGGCCTCCTCTTTACTCGCCCCCATGTGAGCGCGGTGCAGATCACAGCCTGACGTTGGCCTTTGACCCCCCTGAAAGCATTCACGGTTCTAAGGGTGATCTTGATGATCAGAAATGTTTGTTTTCTGCAATAATCCGCCCGGCATCAGCATCGCCCGGGTTTCTCTGTTAAAGTGCTGTGCTGTCAAACCCTCCCCCTCAAATAAACATGGACCTGAACTGTCCAGCTCGACCGCATCGCTCCGTTTACTGAAGGAGGAGCGAACAGGATCCGTGACCCGCGGCGAGAGCCAGAGGGTCAAAAGCTGCGACGAAGATCCCACCGCACCGTGTTTATCCGCCTCCTGGGTGACGGCTTTCAGGTCTTTGTCCAGCCGCAGTTTGAACAGATTGTGCTCGACGTCCAGCTGCTGCTCGCCGGCGACGTCCATCGCGTCTATGCTGAGATCTGAGCGCGAGAGGGAAGACGGGTGAAAAGACGGGAAGAGGGTCGCTCGTGAGCGACGCGCGGCGGCTCTACTCACAGGCGCAGGGCATGTGGGGGAAAATGACGTCGATGTTGATTTTCAGCTTGTCTCCTCGCGACGTGTCCACGTAGAGCTCCGGGTGGACCTGCAGAGACACGCCGAGTTCACACGAGACAACCCCATACATTTCCTCAGAGAAAGAAAGCTGGTCTTCTTTCTGCATCATCAGCACGTTACAGCCGTGCACGTCAACAACTCCCAGTGACGTGATGTGACCAGTTATAAAATAAATAGAAAGTTATTTGCTGAAGCTCGAGGGTCAGCGGGTCGTGTGAGGCGGACAAACTCACCTCTTTGGTGAGATAGTACTGCAGCTCGGAGACGAACAGGATCAGCATGATGACCCCGCTGATGACGGTCACTGCAGACACACACACACACACACACACACACACACACACACACACACACACACACACACAGTTTGTGGGTTAAGGAGCTGTGTTTAAAGAGATTGTGTGCGTTCTGCAAAAACTATTTTCTTTCCTCTGATGTTTTCTGTGAAATGAGGAAGAATAAGTGCATCTGCAGCCCAGGATTCAAGAGAACTGCCAATTAACGTTACTCTAAAGATGATCATCTCCATTCATGTCAATGTAGATGCTTGAAGAGATGAACGAACATCTCTAACCTACACAGAAGAACGCCTCACGAAAGTGTCTATTTAGCTTTTGCCTCTTCAAATCATTAACCAATAATAACAACCAACAACCGATATTACTAAACGCCTCCGCGTGTCCGTTCCACAGTTAAAGAGTGAAACGTGAAACACTTCTGTGCGGGTCACAGGGAGCGATGCTCGAGCTAGCCTTGTTGTTAGCCGCAGCGGCTAACGGGCTGTGAATGGCCGCCGCGCCGCGGGATTGAAGCCGCTCACCGGTCGCTCCTCCCCACGTCTTCACCCGGAAATCCTCCAGAGTTTTGGGATAAGCGTCAAACTGCTTCAGCTTATTCAACGTGTCCATTTTCCGAGCCGCTAGACCGCCCGCTGAGCATCAAAAAACGTTAGCGACGGATTCCGGCTCTCCGGACGCACACACCGGTCCTCTTTTTACTTCCGGGACACGCGCAGCCAATCAGCGACGGCCGCGTGATTCAGACCCTTTTGCTGTTTTTTCATAAAATATTATAGACTAATTCCATTATTATAATTAACGTTATTTGAAAATGGGCAATTCTACGAGTACTTTTCGTTTTCTGCTTTTAAAATGTAAAACTTTTAATTTAACTTTAATAGTAATAAACGTAATATGTGAAATATGTTGTAGGTAAGCTAAAAGTCCAATGTCGGCTTCTGCATTTTCGTAATGTAGAAGTTTAAAGTAGCAGAAAACTGAAACACTATTATAATAATACCATGTCGGTCTTGTTTTTTCTTTTCAAATCAAACTTTCTTTCAATAAGAAAAAATAATAAAACTAGGAATAATGATAATAAACAAAAAGATATATTAGTACCGGATTCTGTGAAACCCTTGTGGTTAATATTTGTATTTAAAGAAAACAAATATCAGATTAATATCATTTTAATTAGTTTTATCAGACTTTGTACAGTTTAGAGAACAGAAACATATTCACATATGAAGACACAACATTACAAATTGTCCAGAAAAGACGTTTGAGCTTCCTTCAAATTCCTTCCCGGTGTTTTTGCAGCAAACTGTGAATTTTATTTGTCAGCTTTGTTTTTTCCACAGTTGTTTTTTTGCATGATATTTGGCAGGAAGTGAAGAATAAATGTCCACAGATCAGAGATCATCGGCATCGCTCCTCCTCCTTCTCCACCACCGGGTCCCGCTCGGCCTTCACTCGACCTCCGACCCCGACGTCGGCCACGGCCGTCTGAACCCGCCGCAGACGGGTTTCTCTCAGGGAGCGCCTCAGCTTGGCCCGCCGGTTCTGAAACCAGATCTGAGAGAGAGAGAATGGAAAATGAATGAGTCCATTGAGAATATTTAGGTAGAAATATAAAATCTTTCCTCTGATAGTTTCGTCCACTGATGTCGGTCATTGGAAACAGCAAACACGTCCTGATGACGAAGCATGTTTCTGTAACGTTATGCGCCGAAGCTCAGAGCGGTTCAACCGGCAGCCGAGGCCTCTTGGCTTCTTTGTCGTGTGCCCACCTGTATTCTGTCCTCGTCCAGGTCCAGCCTCCCTGCCAGCTGCTCCCTCAGCTGGATACCTGGGTAACAGTTCACCTGGAACACCGTCTCCAGCACGTTCACCTGCACGCAGATCAACACACAGGTCCTTCACACGTGCCCGAGCTCAGCGCTGAACCAAAGGCAAGCCTGCGGGATCCGTCCCTCCCACCTGCGCACTAATCAGTTGGTCGATTACCTGGCTGTTGGTGAAGGCGGTGCGCGGCCTGCGTCCGATGTACCAGTTAGATGTCGGCCTGGGAGAGTTCATCTGCTGAGGATGTTGCTGTTGCTGTTGTTGTTGTTGTTGTGGAGAACACGTAACATTTCCTCTGCTCTCCTTCTCCGATCCGATCTCTGGATGCAAACAAGATGAAGACGCTTTGATCACCTTACAGGGATCAACTTATTCTACGCGCTAAATACAAATGAGAATAGTTAACTTTTTTTTTACAAGATTTCTTCCGTTAGAGGATTTTTGTTTAATTGGGGACGCTGAGGCAACGCTACGATCGATCGATGGAGAAACTAGAGAGGCTGCATGAGAAAAGGTGTGCTGAAGAGTTTTTCCCAGCGTCTGGTAATAATTATTTCCTTTAAGATGCTGCAGAAGAGCTGATATACGTATGTATGTATATATACTGATCTCAGAAGCCAAATGAAACAAGGATTACATTTGTTTATTTACAGAAAAGCCACTTTTACTCACAACCGTTTTTAAAATGAGTAGAGTCGATTTTTTCTTTTCTTTTTACATATTTAGATTTCTTACACCTTTATAATCACTTACTTTTATACATTTCTGTATGCGCTCAATCATTGATTCTCAGGTCTAAGTAAATGTTTTTTGCAATAATAATTTAGCCTTCATACTAGTTTAAATTAGTAGCTTAAATACAATAAAGTTGTGAGGACAAAACTAATGTTCAATATTCTTGTTATTTTATGCATTTTTTTTTTTTTTTTTACCACCACAGTAAAACACAAACAATTCACATCAGACTGATGCCTCGTAGAAAGGAGAGTAAACGCTTGCTCCTCACCTGCCCACGGTCGGTGCAGTTTCAGGCCGTTTCCAGGTCTTTGCAGCTCCAAACCCAGGATCCGATCGATGGAGAACGCCGGCCTGCCGTCCGCCAGAGCGGACGCCATGGCGATCGATCCGACCCGGCGTTCAATACGCGGCCCCCGAGAGCAGAGAGCCCTCCGCCTGACGATGAAGAACTGCTGGCAGCGGGCGAAAAAAAGTCCCATAAGTGGATGTTCTCCCCCGACGACGCCACAGAGGAGTGTGTGTTCTCGGGTCACCTGGCTGCAGGTTTTGAGTGTGAGACACATGAGAAGCAGCAGGGAGACGAACCGCTGAGTGCTGAGTGGAGGATTTACACACCGGCCGCCAATTAGATTCAAGAAGAGGTTTTTCCATGTGAATGAGCTTCCCTGAGGTTCCATACAACAGCTAATCTGTGCTGTGTGTGTGTGTGTGTGTGTTTCTAGATTTTTTTAGTTCAACAACTCTGCAAAATGAGGGAATTTCTCAGGAGACAAAAATTGTGTGTGTTTTCCGTCATGTGAAGCGAAGTGTATGTGAGATTATGCTGAGAAGACTTTTTTTTTTTTTAAACTGTCACAGGACCAAAAAACCTAATTCTATCCTTTTCTTCTGAATTACCAAGGTAGAAAATTAGTTCAGATCCCACAGTACAAAATGCGTCCGTCCTCCAGTTACAAGTCTGTGACAGAGCTTTATTCTAACTATAATAATAATGATAATGCCGGCAATAATAATGATCCACGGAGAGCCACTAATACCATTAGCCTAATCTGTGTGTGTTGTGATGCAGACGAAGCTCGTAGCGTCTGAATGCAGGTAGAAGCAGCAGGGAGGAAAACCTTTTCACAACCAGATTAGCTCCTAATGAAGGCCCGAAGCAGCTTTAAGCGAAGCGCACACTTGTTTATTTATCCCACAATGAACGGCAGGATGAATGTAAGGATGCGACGGTCACAGGGGGAGGGAACTAAGCCCAGCTTCAGCGTGCCGCTGGGTGGAACAGAGGGAACCCGGGACGCTTTCTTTGCATATCCGTTAGTATTCTAGAGCTCTTTTAAGCACAAATGTCACACGCGTCACATTTGTATGTTTCAGTGTCGAACACAAGGAGCAAGTTGTTAACAGTTCATCCCGACTGTACCGGTCTGGGCCTAAAACCTGAGACCATTAATTCACCTATCAACCGACGTGCTTCATGAAATACAGCATCATCAGAAAGACGCTCAATTAATCGCCGAGTCCGACGGAGACGACACCTTTTTGAACGTCTGCCAGAAACAGAAAAAACGCCACACGCAGAAGTTTCCTTTAAGATAATTTATTTTGTACAGTAAAACAGAGGTTCAGAGGTCGCGTTGTGTCCGCCGAGTGGCTTTGTGTGTGTGGGGGGGGGGGGAATGGACTTACACACCCAAGGTGGCACAAACTATAATGCAACCATTTCTCGGCGGCCGAGCGACTTATTGGTCGGCCGTTGCGAAGAGTCTGATACGAGATGTCAGGACCTGAACCGCTGCCGGATGAAAACAAACCTTTGTGGAGGGGGCGTTCAAGAAAACCACAACTCTCGGGGGAAATCTGTCACAAAAATCGCTTTTCTACCTCCCCAACGACTAAAAACGGGCCTTGGTTCTTTTGACATAAACATGTATTTATATATTCTCGTCTCTCTACTTCCTCTTAGAAAGGCGAGTGTGTTTGTCAGGTGGTGTTTGGTTTTTGTCCGTGTGGTCGCCTCGAGGCGAGCGTTGTGGGCTCGTTGAACGCGGCCCTCCGCGGCAGGTTTTAGGCCCAGGTACGGGGTGAGCGGCTTCCCCTTTACTTGGGAGGCCTGTAGGCGATTTTCCTGCTCTTCAGCACGGACCACCGGTGTCTCTTCATGTAGTAGATCAGAGGGACCAGGATGACGGCGCCCATCAGCAGCTGAGGAGGAGAGATTAAGGGTCTCTGGTGAATATCCATGTGAACAATAACGCTGAAAGTATGGAAATAAAAGTAACGCCTCGTGTGCGTGTAACCAGTGGAGAAGTGCGGTACCTTCAGTCCCATGCGTTTACGTTGGTCGTGCTCCGGCTCGGCGGCCCACCGCAGGAACGTGCACACGTCTTTAGCCACCTGGCTCATGGTGGCAGGGGTTCCTATGGCAACAGACACACAGCAATCAGTAAAACCACGACAACCAACCCACCGATTCTCTGCTGGACTCCTCGAGTGAGGACGAGATAGTTAAACGTTTCTACAAACAAACAAATTATTGTGAGTTAAATGTGTGTCTTCTGAGGTGTTTTAATACTCTGCTGTAAAATAAGTGGTTTACAGACGTCACTGGGTCGATACAAACATGCATGCACGTGGATGCATATGCCGCCGTGACATCATCATCATGCGACATTACGTACCGTCGTCGTACTCCAGCACCTCGTTGTAGATGGGCGGAGCCATGCCGATGGCCTGGCCGACAAAGTACGGGTTGTAGTAGAGTCCCTCTCTCACATCCACCCCGGCCGGGGGTTCGCAGTATCCCGTGAGCAAACTGAACACGTAGTCCTCGCCTCCGTGTCTGAGAAGAGCAGCGGGACGCGACGTGTGAGAAGCGGGGATTCCACTTGTGGACTTTGGGCTAAACTGTGGAGGTTCTCTTTTTCCTCGAGCAGTTACCTGGCATTGACGATGTAGCTGAGATCTGGAGGCAGCGCCCCGTTGTTGGCGTTGCGGGCGGCCTCGGGGTTGGCGTAGGGCTTCGGGAAGTAGTCCGACAGCTTGCCCGGCCGGGTGAACATCTCTCCACTCTCATCGGGGCCGTCCACCACCTCGACCTGAACACAAGGAACCTCGTGAGCGCGGCGCCAAACACGACGTAGCCGCAGCCACTGGCCGGTTGTCAACCCGTACTGACAGAACAATACAATTCATCAACAAGGGCTTCACTGTTACAAAGTCCGGCTTGTGTGATGAAATTACAAGTTCCAACTCGCTCTCCTTAAGCCCACACAAGGCCTCACCTCCTCGGCGATGGTCTTGGCCTCTTCCTCTGTGTGCGAAACTCCCACCAGGTTTCTGAAGGCCAGGTACTCCATACTGTGGCAGGCCGAACACACCTGCTTGTACACCTGGTAACCACGACGAATGCTGCAGAAAAGGAGCGAGGCCAGAGGACAAAGTGAGACTAAAAAGACGAAATGCTCTAATTTCTGTTAGATGAGTTGCTCATTGGTGAGAACGGAGGGGGTGTCCATCCTACCTAGCATGGTCCAGAGAGGACAGGGGTCCAGCGTGGCTCCAGGGGTACTGTGGGGGGTGGAGCTCCAGGTCGGAGGCTTTGACTGACTGGTGCAGCATCAGGGCGAGACCCGCGCCGCCGGCTGTGACCACGCCCACTGTCGTCAGGGCAACCTTCTTGCTTCGAGGCAAACTGGCGAAGGACATTTTGGCCTACGAGGAAAAACAAGATCACAGGAGTTCATTCATCTAAGAATCCTCCAAGCACAATAACGTACAAGGGAAGGAAAGATCTCTCTGGTTTCAGGTTTCACTGGTTCCTGTCAGCAAAAACTCCTAATGTATTCATTATTAACCTCAAGATTGAATAGTCTTCAATAACTTTTATATTTAAATCTGAGTTGGTATGCAAGGGAAAAAAATACCTTTGGCCAGTCACCACAACTGTTGCCTTAAGTTAAACAAAACCTTCCATAACTAATAGAATTCCCTGCTAATTTGATCATAAATGAGTCTGGAGGAATTCATACATTCATTTTCTTTTGTAAACAAAATATTCAACTAAATCTCAATTTGTGGAATCTCAGTAAAACATCGTCCCCCTTCATCACAACACTAAAAGTCTAAATATCTTCTGATATTCACCCATGACAAACAGAGGAGCCTCACTATGGAACGAGGTAGAAATATGATTCAAGGGAGATCAAATAGTTTATATTAAATCGATTCAGCTGAAATGAGCATAAAGTTACATAAAGTCCTGGTTTGCACCGTGTATGCTAATTGTACTTATGAAACTGCCCTTCACTTCTGTAACAAGGCAGCAGGCATCACATAACAGACACACACACACACACACACACACACACACACACGAGTGGCCTTTCATGAATCCCTTTTAGTAGCACACGGATTATAGTTTATATATCCTTATATATTACAGTAATACAGTAGACGGACAGGAATCTACATCATCTCACCAAGCATCCCCTGTTTCGACCTCCACCAGGTCTCAAACAGCAACAAACCGCTCTGATAACCGGAAGTCCTTTCAGTCCTTGAAATGCTAACTCGTTAGCTTGCCGCTTAGCTGCTTTACCTTAGCCACCGGAGAATTTTCGCAACGTGACCCGCGTCAGGGTCGAACGGTTCGCAAACACCCAGAACGCCCAACGTGCCGCGCGGCCTCGTGTCCGTGTATTTGGGCTGCGGTTAAGGTTTAAGTTTAACTCGTCCATGTGCCGGGTGGGTGACACGACTCGCCGAGGTCCCGTTAGCTAACCGGCGGCTAGCTTGCGCCGCGTATCGACGGCTGCCGGGTTTTAGATTTAAGGCGCTTGTTTTCGCAGTGATTGACGCCGGGTCGATGCATATGTGCAGAGAGCGACAACATATGAAGAGTTGGTATTAGAGTCGCTGCCGACAGCCATAAAGTGCGTTTAAACACGAGTGACCTTGTCTCAACGCGCTGACATCAACCATGCTAACATACAGCTAGCGCGGCGGCGGCAGGGCGCCGCACAGCAGCTCCTTCTTGTCGAAACGCTGATATAAACGCACTCCGTCCTGGGTAGTGAATGGAAGACTAAACTATCCACCTACCACTCGGGTCTTGATGGTTTTCGGCGTGCTGAGGAGGGCTCTCCCACCCCCCGACAGCACAGAGATTCGTAGCGCCGCCATCTTCTCTGCGGTTCTAAGTTGAGAGAAGGTGCCCTGACTGACACGAAGGCAGCCAACTACTCCTTCCGGTCTGAGCCTTCAAAATAAGCACAACCATCGCGAAGTTATCTGTTTTCAAGTAGGTCTCAACTGCCAGAGTAAAACAACAGAGAGCAACAGCATTATGTGAGAAAAACTATAAGTGGAATTAAATATCGGACACGAAAATATAACATGCTAATAATTTAATGTAGCGAAAACACGTCTTGCTGGTTACTATTGAAGAGGCGCACAACTACAAATTGGAGGACGATTCATAACGAAAGAGACATCTATATTTGTTTTGCACAACGCATTTTTTCCAGCGCGTGCATGTAGAGCTTTGGCTACAAAACGCAGATTAATCAGTAACACTAAATATAATCACACACGTTTTTTTTCATGTCAAACAATACAAATTAGCAACAGCTTTCTTTTCTTTACATGACATATTTGGTATCTTCGCTCCGTTCTAATCTCCGAAGATAAATACGTCTCTTGAACGATGCAAGTTTTTACTGGAGTTTATCTTTGCGCAGTGTTTCCCATTGCCCTCTGAGTGGCGTGTCTTTTGCTCTTACTTTGAAGGTAGTCCTCATCGCAGACCGGAAATACTTATCCAGGCTGATTCTGGCGAGCTTGATGCAAAATTATACAAGGTGGATTTACGCAACCTTGATTTTTTATTGTTTAGTAACAATTTACAAAAAAAAAAAAAATCTTGTTAAATCAGGTTTCAAGTTGTTAGTTACGAAAATGGTCCATATCGCTGCTCTTTGATGTACTTGATCCACAGTGTGAATTTGCTGTAACATGATCTTGGTTATAATATCAAATATTTCATGCTCTCCCATGAAGTTTATTCAAGTCGTTTGACACCGAGTAGATTGGAACCACGTTCAGAGGCAATAACTGGATGTGGGATACGAACAACAAGCCCAGACTGATGTCTTGAGACAAACTTGACATCTTGAAACGTTTTTATTGCAGAATGAAAAACCCATCCAGTACCAAAGAGAAGATGAAGCGGGTTGTACCCGAGGCGTCCAGGAGATGGAAGCAAAACGTCAACTAAAACAGTCTGAAGTCACGCCTCAAAACTGCTGCAGGGGTTAAACTTCATCACAATAAGATTAAATGCTGCCTCGCCTGCCACAACATCTCTATTCGTTAGTCAGTAGATGAGACGATTAATCTACACTTTAATTACATTAATGCGTCAGATACCAGACTGTGAAATCTACTAAACATATTAAGGGATAATGAATTCTTCTTCTTTTGCAGCGACAACTGTAGGAATCCTAAATACCACATGTGAAGTGTGAACTACTCTGTTAAAATAGTCATTGGTGTAGTTTGTGTACATGTATGAAAGAAGTCCCGTGTCGTTCGTATTGATACTCTCTGCTAGTCAATGAGGTGCCGTTGATGGCGAGCGGAGCTGCAGATGGATGTTTGCTGTTTTGACAGCAGGAGGGTAATAAACTATTCATCGCCCCCGGCAGCGCCTGTCATGTCGGCCTGACACGAGGCCTCCTCTGTGGCGCCGCCGCCGGACACGTGCGGCGCTTCCGAACGCACGGCGACACGAGTCCACGAGTCGCTCTCAGACCCGAACGCATCGTCGCTCGATCAGGAGCGTTGTCCCCTGCACAAAACGGATACAGCAGGTCCTACCTGCGGCCGATGCTAATGCTAATGCTAATGCGCGAGGGGCCGTTTGTTCAAATCGGCCGTAAAATCCCGTCGAGCAAAACTCAGCGCGTTCTCTGTGTGACGGCGTCCGTCACGACGGCCTCGCCAAGAAAAATCATTCGTCTTTTCGTGCGTTGTGTTAATGTGGAACGGGTCGACCTTCACGCGCTGGTGAGCAGCTCCGACAGCTGAAGTCATCGTCTCAGGTGCATGCTGGGTAATTATAGACATGTTGGATTATGGGCTGTACGCCCGTCTCCGTGTCGTTCACACTCCTGTGTATTTTGTGCCCCGATATTGAACGTGGGTTGTTGTTGTGCACAGAACTGTGTGTGTGCACCTGTGTGTGTGTGTGTGTGTGTGTGTGTGTGTGTGTGTGTGATCCCACTCTGGTGTTAATTATGTTCAGCGTGTGTGCAGATAAACAAGCTGCAGGTGTGATGATGGAAGTGAGAAGACGCCATCGCTGACTCTTCTCTTTCAGGCGCCGTGAATGTCGCACAAAGAACCGGGGTTCTGGCGGAGAGGAAGCGGGTCAGCGCTGCGTTCGTAGAGGCGGACAGGTAGCGGCAGGTGCGAGACTCACGTTGAAAATGGTCCATTTGCGGAGAGAAACACTTCATTGAACTGCACTGAGGTTCTCAGCACACGCTGCTCCTTTTCAATGTCTTATGGACGAAGTTTAGTACTGAAAAAAGGAAGCATACATCCATCCGCCATCGTCCAGTGGAGGACCGACCGGCCCGTCCGTCTTAAATGGTCAAAGTGTCTTTCTGTGCTCCTGGATGTTGATGAAAGTAACTTCTCACCCGCAGTGTGATGTCCCCATAATGGCGTGCGAGCAGCGGACGTGGCGCGCCGCGTCCTTTGTTTGAAGTTCTCCTCGCTTGTTTTGAGCCCCCTCATTTGGATCAAAGACGGAGACCACCGAGCTGCATTAGAGCATTATTCTTATTACACTGATGCCCTTCGCCCGCCTCTTCGCTCCCCGAGACGCGTCTCCTCCGCTCAGCATCGGGACCAGCGAGCGTTACGAAAAGAGCACGAGAGCCTAATAAAGTCAGACAGGTGAAGGTGTGCACCTCACATGGAGGCCGGACTCCTCCAATCAGTATCTCAGAATGATCCTTACTTTGCACGTGGTGCTGAAGGGCTCCGTTCATCCCCGTCTGTCCCTCGCTCACAGTATTTGACCCTCTGAAATGTCCACAACCCGTGAGACAGATGTGGTGCATTAGAGCTGCTTCAACCAGGAGCCGGTTTCCTTCCGCTGGGCTTCACGTCGGATGATTTATTCAGCTGGGGGGGGGACGAGGAGTGGAAGCTCTGCGCCGATGGGGGACTTTGAGTCAGGCAGCAGCGTGCTTCACATACCTGGGACCCCCGTCCCCCCCCCCACGGGTCGGAGACTAAGTGCTTGGTTTTGTCTGCTGAAGAATGGATGCGTTGTGTTACGGAGAGGAAACCAAGGACGCCGTTGGGGACGAAGGGCTGAACACGACTTTGACAAGGAGCAGGCTGACGGCCTGTGTGTGTCTCTCTGAGGCCTTTCTCTGGGCCTGCAGTGACAACGCTAGCTGGCTACGCTAGCTAGCTACGCTAGCTAGCCACGCTAGCAGCATCTTCTAGCAGAAGAGCAATGAGCTTTGTGTTTGTGGAGATGATCAACCGGGTCGGCACCAGCGTGTGTGTGTGTGGACAAACACGGCTGACCACCGCCCGTGTTTAGTGTCCTATGATGAACACGAGGACCAGATGATGAATCAGTTTAACTGGACAAAGCGTCTTCACGTTCATGTTTCATCTGCCAGCAGGTTTCTGATCATTATAATTGTCACAGGAGCAACATCTCCTGTTAACATCTCGAGTACTTCTCTATCCGGCCGTCGGCAAATGCCGAATGTGCACGTCTCTGCGTCTGTCTCATTGGGACTCTGTTTGTGTGTCTGTACACTATAGAAACACACAGTAATACTTCAAAAGTACACAGATACGGTTGTCACATGGTTCACTCGTCTTCATCTTTTAGAGGACGTTGTGATCCGTGGACGCGCACACCTGCTGCTGTGTCGTGGTGCGTTTGGGTGCCGTGGGAACTGTGGCCGTCAGCCGATGGAGTTCACAGCACATTTATGTCTCACCGTGGCCATGTCCGCCTATTGGTTCGTCTCTCAGACTGGACTCTATTGTCCCCTAGAGATGAATTGTTGATGTGATGATGTCCAGCAGACACACAAAAGTCCTTTTTAATCTAAAGAATAGAATCGTTTCTTGAACGCCGTCATTTCCTGGCGTTGGGCATTGGGCGGACGCTGGATTATTAGTCACATCTTTGGTACCAGGACCGCGACCATCCAGCCCGTCCTAGACGGCCGCTCCAGGTGACCGTCGGCCCCAGCAGGTCACCACGTGTCCTGCAGGTTAGTGCAAACGGTTAATTAAAGCTTCAATGTCGATCATCTGATGATAATCTCATTTAAATCGTCTGGCTATGATGGACATCCGGCTATTGTACAAGAAGAGGCATTTACATCTGTAACCATGGCAACAGAGTTACATGTGAGCGAAACAAACATTTTTCTTCAGAGACAGAAGCCCAACAGCCGCCAGCTGAGTCCGTTAATTTGACCTCAAACCGACCCAAACGAATGGCGCGTGCCTGGGCGGGTCGACGGCGCCGCCATCAGCTCCTCCTATCGAGCTGCTGCGCAGGGCGGCGGCGGCGGGCGTCGATGAGGACCTTCGATCCGCCCTTCTCTCTAATTGAATGCACACACTCCGGCGTGAGAGCTATAATTTGATACAAAAGTGTCGGGCATCGATCTGTGAATCTGATGATGTCATCAGGCAGCGAGGAGTATTGATAAACGTGATGGGGGGGAGGGGGGGGGGGTATTGATAAGTCAGCAGGGCTCCACAAAGTAAGGCTCAACTGAGCAGCGTGTGTTTGTGTGAGTTTGTCCTTCCTGTCGCGGTCCTGGTACCAAAGATGTGACCAATAAAGGCCGGTTAAAACACGGCGCATGATGGAGACCCGCCCTCGGCACTGTGAGGGGAGGGAGCGGGGGGGGATCTTTGCTAATTACTCAAAGTGTGTAAGTAATGTGCGTGTTTGTGGTGCAGAGACGGGCCGTTCATCATGAACGTCTGGCGGTTCCGTGTGGTCTTTCACGCTTTATCTTCGCGCCGCAGCTGAAGCCGGCAGTCACGTTATACATCAAACCGATGCAAACTGCTTCACAGCTTTAGGGTTTAAACCACTTTTCCCTCCGAACGCGACACATCGGTCATGTCGGGATGGACGTGGACGCCGAGTGATAAACGGCCCGGTTTGTTTCACTGGGAACATTCGGCGACAAGAC